TCCTCTTCACTGTCCCCTTCCACAACTTTCCTTCCAGAAACCAGCTAGCCAATCAGCGCGCTGGGGCTGTCAGTTGACAAGAGTGCCCTGCTATATACGTTTATGGTCTCCTGGGGAACTCTGATGTACAGCAACAACTCTACATTAGAAGTCTTCATCTGAAGTCTTCATCTTCTTTAAATATATCTAGAGTGGGGATGGAGATGGAACCAAAAAAAAAAAAAAAAACATAATCTTGAATAAATTATCATTATTCTGACTTAATAGCCTTGTTCACAATGCAGTTCGATATTACTCACGCCGTTAGCTGTACGAAATATGGTGTCTGTTGCGAGCAGACAGTAAAACCGATGCAAGGCGGACACTCCTCTTGTGATTGGTTTGAAGGAAAAAAAGTTATTGAGGCTGACTGTATTAGGGCTTAAAAAGATGAGAGAAATCATACAAGTTTATCACGATAGGTTGTAAGCACTAGAATTGTTCATTATGTTTCGATGTACACACCAATGTCTCAAATTCGGGTTCAAGTGCAGAATTTTTCTAATGAGCGGAAACAAGTTATGTTTTTAATTTGTATAAAAGCTACCAAATTAGTAAAAAGTAGGGATATGTTTTTAGTGTATTATACCGTTTTTTAAAAGCAAACTGCAAACACTTTTACTGAAATTACAAACGGCTAATTCTATACAGTACAGGTCGTCAAAATTGCACTTACGTGATGTTGGTAGATATAATTTACAGCATTCTCTAGTCTCTGGTTTGCTGTACATTACTGGCTGCCCTCTCTTTTAAAATTGTTCGTACAGTTAATGAATGGGTAAAGAAGCCAGAGAAGTGAAATGATCTTATGGCAGCATAACAAATGGGGGTCAATGTATAAAGGCTCTTTCTGGTGCTGCGTGATTTTGAAGTCAAGAACTCACACTGTTGCCTTGGCTTTTTCATTAACCTAATGATCATAAAATTTAGTTTATTTTGAATTTACTGTTTTTTTTTTTCAAGGCAGTCAGTCGACGTCAGCAGTTGGTCTGTATCTGAGCAGCACCGCAGGTCTGATAACTATAATCTGCTTTACGGCATTGATGTTAATCTGTTTGTTGTTATTTCTATGTGCCTTATGTCGGTATCAAAAAGAAAGTTAGTTCTTCATTGTAACAATTTAAATGAATACTACAATCTGAGCGTTTAAGTGTTTAATTTACAGATGCGAACATGCGACGTCAGATAGAACTTTTGGATAGCGACTATCAAAAGGCTTTGACCGCCAACCGAAATTTACAAAAAATTATAGAACAGAAATACATGCCAATAGCAGATAACAAAAAAACAGTTTTGGTAGACCCCGAAACTGTACAAACGGATGTCAAAAATAATTATCTCCATGAAGGAAACAATAGTAACAGGAATCAGGGAGTCTCAGACAGTTCTCAAAAAGGTAGTCGAAACGAATCGAAGATTACTGGTCATTTGAAACAAACTGAATTGACACCTTCAGAGATTGAAGCTTATGCCAACGTCAAAAAGTACGATCGGAAAAAAAACGCTGTAGTGCCTTTGATAGATTCAGAGTTTTCTGTTTCTGGTGAGTATTTATTACCTTTTGATATCATAATCTATAAGAATTAAAGTAGAGCTGTCTTTGCTTTTGCTTTTACCTTCTTTACTCCTCTTTTTGTTCACAAATCTCGTCATAGAATAAGTTTTTATCTTTTAACCGTTCTTGCACGGAGACGGGAGGCGCTTGGTGCGTTCAATCAGTTTTGCACATCTTTTTATGATAAGGTTCTAGTTGCAATTAAGTTAAAAAATTTTCTAAATTAAGGTTTCTAAAATTTATGTCGGGTACCTGGTGTGGCTTTTTTTTTGTAGCTGTCAGGAAAGTGTGCTACTTTTCTATTTCCTAATTTCTATGGAAACTCTATGAAGGGAAACTAATAACTTTTAGCGTTCTGCATTTCAGAAATTTTCTGCCTGTAGAAATGGCATCTTTTAATCGAGCAGATTTTCTTTGAGGAAGCGTCATATAAGAGATTTTTTGGAGCAACTAAGATTTTTTAAACAGAATTTGGCATACGCTAAGTAATTACAAACGATATGTATTAGCATATTTAAGAATCCGATCTCTCAAAGAAGCCAGAACAAGTTCTTTAAAACGCTAGTTTGTACTGTATAAGGTTCAGTTTTATTTTACTTATTTTATGCACTAGTCTCCGCTTTTTTTTTT